TGACCGCGAGTCCCCCTTACTGCTGCTATCATTTTGTTGTATGGTAGTAGCCGAGCAACTTTACAGGACATTATTTTGATTCTTTCAAGCTTTTTCCCTTTTCGTTTGGCCTTTTTCATTGAAAGTACCCTGTACAAAGACCGGTACTTCCTTTTCCCAATAACCCCCCTTGTAAAATAGGTAGAAATACTTCTTAAAAGATTTTCTTGTGAATCCTCAAATTTCTTAACACTACTGTTATATATTTGAGGGAAAACCTGATTACATAACTTTCTTTTTCTTGAAATAACGCTAGTTAACTCCCCCTTTGAGCCTTTTACTGCCAATGTATCAACTAAACCAGAGATAGCAGGTAGAGTATTAGTGGATGTACCTCCATGAATTCTAAGAGCTGAATTAAATGTTTCACTTCGCCTCTTATTCATCGTCCGATTACATCTGAGATTATTTCCATGGTCATCACATGTAGGGCTGTTCTGTCTATTCACAACTGCAGAGGGATTTTGATTCAGAACCTGGTGCTCATTTGAAAGGCTTTGGATGTTTTCTTTCATCTCAACAATCTTTAAAAAAAAAACATCAGATTAGCGACATATTTGTGATGAAGATGATTGAACACAAATACTAAATACCTTGTCTTCAAGCCTTCTCTTTTTAACACCCATGGAATCTAATTTCCTGTTGTTCTCTTGAAGAGAAATGTGAGCCATAGCAACTTTATTCCTCTGGTCCTTTCTTGCCTTCATCATCTTACCAACATTAAATCTTGCATACCTCTTGCTTTCACTAAGAGGCATCCTTTAGTGAGATAAAGGTTACACTGAATTAAAAAAGGATAATTTCTATCCTACTTATCCAATGCCTTCACTTGGTATGCCACAAAATATCACTTAGACCCTGTTTACATAGGATAGAATTAATCCTCTGTGCTACTTCAAATCTCCCAGTTTGTACCATATGTAAACAGTAGATGATGGTTTGTGTTAAGTTAAGCCTTTATGTTATTAAATACCTGTTATTTCTTTCCACTGGCAAAAAAATAGGGCTCTATCTTGTAGATGAATGTAAAGTTTTTCTCGGGTTATGTAATCACAAGAGCCTTTATTTCTCTTTGATAACTTCTTGAAGTAGCCTTCGATTTGTATTTTAGTTAAAGAAACCAGCTTTGAAAACAAAGTTATCACACTTGCTTTTCATGAAAGTTTACATTCGTATTTAATATCGCGTTTAGGAGATCAGATGGTGGTTTGAAAGCTGCATGGGTTGCTCTGATATAGCCACGTACGCTGTTTTTGTAACCAACTTCTTTCGCACTGTTCTGACACTGAAATCAAAACAGACAAACACTTAATACTCAAAAGGTTTAAACATACCTCTTATTCAGTTAAACAAAAATCATAGGATTGTCGACCGATAAATACTCTCCATTTAGGTATGATTTTTATGGCATTTTATCGAGCACAGTCAAAGCCTTTTGAAGGCAAAAAAAAGCAAATTTCAAGCTTTTCTCAAGACAAGTGGCTTTACTTTAAATGTACTTACTTCGATGAAGGCTTTCCTCAACTTTTCTAGCAGAAAACCAGGCAAGTTGGGCATCAAAATACTCCTTGGTTCAAGACGAATCCAATCCAAAAGCTGCCTTCTCTATACGACCGCTAGGTATCGTGGTATTACGCATAAATTAAAAGGTCATATGGTGACAAAATTTTCCCCTTCCCCTCCCCCTCGTTATCCAAAATTTGCACTTTGAAAGTTACCGATAGATTGAGCACGCGATTTCGCGGCCGATATGCCCACCGTGCTTTACAGCAGACATTGAATCAATGTTTTATCAGACTAGAGTCATCGAGAGCGATACAGATGCATTAAGATTTTTATGGTGGTCCGACAGCCTAGAAGACTCACCAGACGAGTACAAAATGTTAGAGCACATATTCGGAGCCAAATCTTTGCCATGCTGTGCGAACAGGGCCCTACGAATGAACGCTGAGGACAACGCAAGTGATTTCGATCCAGAAGTCATCCAGTCAGTCTACCGTAACTTCTACGTAGATGACCTACTGAAGTCCGCTCCAACGACGGAAGAGGCTACTCGTTTTGCAACCGACCTAGTTAAATTGCTGAAGGTAGGCGGTTTCAGGTTTACCAAGTTCACAAGTAACTGCCGCGAAGTGCTGACGTCCATTCCTCCCGAAGACAGAGCTAATCCAACCCTAAACTTGGATCTCGACAAGTTACCAATGGAAAGAGCATTAGGAGTGACCTGGGACGCAGAGTCAGATACCTTCAGATTCAAGGTTATACCAACAAACAAGTCTCCAACGAAAAGAGGAGTGCTTTCAGTGGTCAGTTCGTTGTTCGACCCCTTGGGATTTCTGGCCCCCCTCACGTTATCAGTGAAGATCCTCCTGCAAGATTTATGGAGAGCGGGAGTGTCATGGGATCAAGAAATCCCAGAACCATATCTGTCGATATGGCGAGAGTGGTCTAGATGTTTTCGGTCAAATCATTGACCCCCTTAGAAATCCTCATACCCCCCTAACGTATGAATGGTACCTTAGGGAAATTTTTTGTAAATTTATGACCACTCATTTTTTYCCCCTCAGCACCACTTGCCCTTCATTTACTTTTACATTATATATTAAACAGTGTTGATGAGCTCAGAATACACCTACATTCAATCTATCATTTTTTAACTGCCACATCAATTTCTACCCATGGATGCTATCATCCACAATACATACTAGTTATTCTCCCACATGTAGCCCGACTACACACTCTTAGAGTGTCTAGTTTTATTGTAGTCCTCCTCCTTTCACTCCTTTCGTCAAAATATAAGTTAAAAATTTTAATGATGGCAACTGAAAGAAGGGGTCAAAAGGTACATAGTGAACAGGGTGAAAGGACATCGTGGTTTAGTATTCTTGACAATTTTGATGTTGTTAGGGGTACAGCTATTGATTATATGCATGGGGTTTTACTTGGGGTACAGAAGCACTTACTGACTATGTGGTTTTGTCCAAGTTTATCGGGTAATAACAGTGGCGGATCCAGAGGGGGTTCCAAGGGTTCCACGGAACCCCCCTTGAGTGTCAAAAAAAATCTAAAGTAAAATAAAAGAAATAAAAAACCTTCGAAACAAATTTCGTTTTTGCAACTGATTGTTAATGCGGTGCCTACTTGGGCTACCTGTGCATCTTGAGCGCCTGCAGTACTTTTCACCAGCGTTCGTACGAACTAAACGTCATTTTCACGTTCATTCAAGCCATTTTTCTTTTTAGATGCAGAGATCTATTAATAACTTCTTTTCAAATAAACGGTAAGTTTCGATTCTATGATGTTTTTTGACGATTTCTTAAGTAAATTATTATTGGCGCTGTGTTGCATTTATTATAGTGAGAGCAGTTCCAGTATTGATGGTGATGTTGAGCCTCCTTCAAAACAAACTCCTTCTGTCTCAGGTAAATCAGTTATAAAAGTATCTATATATACCTGTATACGAAGACATGGATGTTCTTATCGATTTAAAAAAGATCTGCAAGGAACACTTTGAGGCTATCATGAATGAGTTTGTACATTGTTGTGAAAATATAGAAGCCGATATCCACAATCTGAGATATCTGATAGCTCTAACTGTTGTAAACCATTTTACAACAATGCATCACTACGAGTTTTTGGAAGAAATGGGAAGTGTGTTGTACGACACCATGTCTCTCTTCCTGCCAGGAGGAGAGGAGCTTACAGATCCACAAAAGCAGCTGGAAGAGGGCGAAGATATATTTGTCCATTTTGAAGATGATTGGGAACCATCTGCAGAATTACGTGACTGTGAAACAGAAATTTTGACTGATGGAGAGTGATATTTTTGAGCTTTAGGGTTGTTAGTTGCTTGATAAACTAACCATTCATTAATAAAACAGTTCATTATTTATTCAAAAAGTTACTGTTGCATTTATTGACGTTAATATTATGTTAAGTTGGTTTGATATAGTTTGTTTTTCTTCCTCTTTATAAAAGAAAACTGCACTTTAACATACAGTAAGAAGGTCTGTTTTTAAGACATTAATAATTATAATTATTTGTCAGATGCACATCATGATAGAGGTGGTTATAAAGATACAGAAGTCAGTACTACTAACAGAGTTATTAGTAAGTCGGGCTGTTTCTGTTTGCATGGATCTATAATATAAATGCTGTACCAATATGTATACTATAATATGTATGAATACTGCAATCATTTTATAG